CCCACCAAAAAGCACTGCTGGGCATGGGATACTAATCTGTCCCCCTATTTAGTGTTCAGCTATAGCCTGTGCAGTGTCAGATATGGTAGATAATGGGGTTGTGTTATGGAGTTAGAGTTTGGTAGTGGTAGGGTTCTGGTTAGGGCTTAGGAGTTAGGGCTTGATGTTTCAGGTTTGACGATGCGGTTAGGTGGTTAGGTTTTAACAGTGGGTGGCTGGGGTAAATCTAGTGAAGTGTCGCTGTTGAAGACCTGGGGGAATTTGGGGTGCATGCTCAGTCAAGACTGCGTTGACACCAAGGCTCCGTGATTTCCTGCCCTGCCAGGTCTAGCTCAGCATTAGCACCTTTCTCTGAGTGTGAAAGGCTGTGTGTTAGAAATAGACGCAATAACACAAACACATTGTTTTATTATTTTCTTATTTTACACTGATATTTCGTTACTCTGACATTTCTTTTTTCTATTCTGGTATTTCTTTTACTCTGGTATTTCTTTTACTTTGGTATTTGTTTTACTCTGGTATTTCTTTTACTCTAGCATGTCTTTATCTTTTACTTTATGTTGTAGGATCCTTACCTTAATAATATCTGGCCGGTTTCTAGGAGTGTCTACTTGCATGACTCTTTCCTCGTACTCAGAGCAGACATTGGGCACCGCTTTGCCTGGACTAGCTTGGCATGAACCCCTTTCTCTTAATGGGAAAGGATGCAGATTAGAAATAGATGCAATAACAAACACACAAACACACAAGTATAGAAAAGCAAGGATTGGTTGGGCACAGCTTCTTTGATGGAGAAGTTGTGACCTGCATTACCCTCATGTTTATTCTTTTAATGGGCAGAAAAAAGGGGAAGGGGAAAATAGGGTGCAAAAGGAATGGGAAAGAAGGAAGTGGAATGCAAAGACATGGGAGGAGAAATTAGAATGCAAAGCCAGTTGTTGTTGGATGTAAATTGTCTGAAGATGTGAAAATCACTGGTACCATATAATTTATCTGATATTTTTTGGGAGACAGTCTTATAAACGCATGCGACTTTCTTTAGCCTCATACTGGGTAGTATTGGGGTATTGGGTATCAACAATAGGAAGCCAACCATTGACAACAGGCACATTACTGCCTGTACTTTCATATGTAAT